GCTATGCTCCTCCACAGAAAAAAAAAAACAGATTTCATGCCAACCTTTTATTTTAAAATTCCAATTATCCATGTAATTTCTAACTCACATCAGAATCACAAAGGGCTTTTTTTAGAAAGCATACTGGTCTTTTGACACATGCTTCAGCACTTTTACCACCATTCTTGTTAACTGGTTGCTAATGTGAAAACTAAATCAAAACGATTTGTATGATGAACTACCATTCAACTAAACACCCCACCGATCAGGAGTTAAAGTTCTGATTCAGAATACTTTGTTAATCTCAAAGGGAAATTATTACCAGAAGGTATATTATTAAAGAAGATACAAGTAAGAGATGAATTGCATGTTGAGATAGGTGACACAACATTGTCAACTACATTACTGATATTGGTTTATTGCAAGCTAAGAAACTGTCAATTAAAAACATAGAGAAACACTGCTCAGGTGAGTAAAAAAGGCCAATCCCAAGACCAATCCTATTGACAGGTGCTGGCCCAGCTCACCACTGCACTGAATCAAGGAAAAAGGAGATGGCCACTCTCCACTACAGAATACCTCAATGAAGTGCCTTTATTTCAATATAATGACCGTGACCAATAACACAGGATTCTGAAGACATTAACTCGTGTCACACAAATTCAGAGCTTACACAACCAACCAACTGTTCAGTTTCTTGCCAAACTATGTTTAATTGTTGTGTATACCCAGCTCATGAAATGTGACTCACATACAGTTTAGTAACCAAGAGGTGGTGGCAGGTGTCTACAGTGCTTATGCTTTTAAAAGGACAGCTCTTATCCCACTGATGGGATTTTTCAGTGGGCACCTGAGGTTGAAGCAGTGTTGCAGCCAGATCCTCACAACGTTGGACCTGAATAGAGTTGCCACCAGGCTGGGGTGCCTTACTGCCAATGTTATTAATGGGAATATCTTAAGGTTGACATCCTTAGTTTTAAAACCCTAAGGTCCCTTTCACATTGGCTATCCGATCAGGTCCACCTGATTGAATGGTCCATGTATCCCTATGGACCGGTGGGTATAAACAGACTTGTCTCCATTTACACCCACTTACCTCTAATCCAATCCAGTCAAATAACAAGAAATGGAAAGTTATCCGTCCCCCTTCTAGTCTAGGCAGATTGGATCGGAGGGCAGTTGGGTGTTAATGGACAGCGGAGTCTTATACCTGGCCATGCGCAGAGCAGGCTCTATCCGCGTCTGCTCTGCATAAACTGGGTAGGCACATTTGTCAATCACCTACTCTGCTCTGATCAGCAGACAGATCCCCTGCTGATCAAATCTGACTATGCCCTGCGTGAAAGGGGGCCTAACTGCGTTTTTCTCTGGCATCTTCCCAGGCAGCGTATACCAGTAGATAGAACCGTAGAGCCCAAGTGGGATTGCCTAGGGAGCCATGTTGATTTAAAGAAAGTTTTTGTGAGTTGTTGACCGTCAAGTAATACTAATTATTTATGGACTGCTGGATAGGTATTGGCCATAGACACAGTGAATGGACCTTTAGACTTTTAAACCCAAGCCATCAGATGCTCTTTCAGAGCACTGTTCATGCTGCCTTTTCTGACATAAATCCTTGTTATCACATTCTGTCACATCCCTTGTTATCACCATGTTTGCACAGTTGATTGCAAGCTCCATTTACCGTATCATTTATTATTTCTTTATCTGATCTGAGAACTCCTATGGCTGGCCCAATATTTTCAGTTCTTTTTAGGTCAGCTTCTAGGTTTACCAGGACAGTGTGGGGATAAATAAAAAAATAAAGGCAAAAAAAACACAAATTATAAAAATTACTGTCCTTTGGTACTTCCCAGGGCCATGAGGGCCTTGTCAAATAGCACCACTTTTCATGTCCTAGCCACTATTCCATCCACATTAATCATCTGCATTGCTTACTGCCATCAGCCCCAATGTACTGAGTGTCCTTATTTTTAGAACTTTACTTGTATGGTAGATATTATTTGTCATGGAGGACTTTCCTTTTTTGCCCCCTTCTTATTCTTGTTTGTGTGTTCTTTAACAGGGCAAATAGGGTAGAGAAAATGTTATTTTGTATTTATTCTTCAATCCACTTGCATAAAGCACTATAGTTCTTAATGGTTCAGTTTGTATTATTTTCTCTTTATACAAGCCAATGTTTGCAGAAACTGCAATGTTATATTAAAAGCAAGCAAATAGCTCCTTTCTGGGTAAATTTGATTTTCATATTAAAATCCTTTTCTGCATGAGTCACTGACTGTATTACTTGAGAGATCCTAGAATATTAATGCCCCCTCTTACTTTTATGTACAGCAAAATGACCTTCACAAGACAGCAGCTTAATATGCAGAAAATCTGATCCATTTAAATGTTGCTTTGTGGCCTCAAATAAACTTGTACCTAGCTTGCTATGTATGAGTTTACTTTTAATATATCAAATTTAAAACTGTTTCTAGCACCGATAACTTAGTATTTCATTTACTTAAAGTGCCGAGGTTCA